CAACATCACTGAATGTGTTTAGAATTACCTGGATCATGAAAAGCAGAAAACACAACCAACTTCTAAGACTGAACTTTGGAGGGGTGGAAAAATATCCTGCAACCTTTCTTTGAAAAACTGAAAGCAAGTCTTCTGAAAAGAATGGAAGCTGTAATAAAGGTGAAATGTGGACCCACTAAATACTGACAAAATTTGATATTACATTTAGCTGTTGAGACCTCAATGATTTTTTAGTTAAGCCATACTGTGATAAGCTCAGAAACAGTGAACCAAACAGCTCTGCCCCCCCCAAGACAAATTAAACACAAATCATTTAAATAATAAGTGTAAAACATAATTTAAAACATTTACACTACTTTTGACAATGTTGAAGCACATTATCACTTTTCTATGAGGTATTTAACATTGCATAATGTACTAATCTACAGTGGTAATCTTCTTAAAACATGAGTTATTATTATTACTATTATTATAACATGATCTTGTTATTGTTCATAGGGTGGTCTGAATTCCACATCACCATTCATAATACATACCTGATTGAATATTTATGCTAACGTTCCAAAAATCAGTGCAATTCAATCACAAACTTAAAGCTGATGCACTTTTGCATTTGTAGGCTGTGGTGCATGTGCAAGTGGGTAAAGGCTTCCTGCTGCTGGGAAATGACCCAACAACAGTTGAAACTCGTGCAGACGGAGCGCATGCACAACGCTACTGCTGGGAAATGACAACAGGACCCGACAGGCCCGCCACTTCAGCGAGAGGGTGACCGAAACCACGGCAACAAAGCCGAAACCTGGCAGCGTAACGGTGAAAGGGGAGGGCGGGGGCCCCTGACAAACTGAAGCAAACTGCACAGTCAGTTATGGATAGGCCCACACTTGCCCCGGGAAGGGAGGAGGGAGGAAAGTTGAATTAGATGGCATCATTTCAATAAATCATCATCTTTACTCTACATCATTACAGCCAGACTGTCATAAAAAAAAGAGTGACAACTACATAAACTTCTTTAGGTGGTTCACCTGCACTCACTGCACGCCCACCTACCACAGTTAATCACACTAACTCTCTACGGGGGGGGCGGGGTTTCTATGCAGTGTTTTATTAAAGTGTTGTATCTTCAATGGTTTATTTATACTTCTAAGTGTAACTAGATACAGAGAAGGGGTTAATGAGGTAAGCGCAGCTTGTGGAGGGCTTCCAGGGGCCACAATGTGCAAACTCCTCCACACCACCTCCAACTACACATCAAGCGAATCTGCAGAGCTCTATGTCAAGCGAACACTGACTGGCTATCCGGTAGTGTTTGGGTGGGACAAGGCCTAAGCAATACTCGACCCCAACCAAAAATCTTAATACAGCTGGTTTGAGTGTTGGCTAGCAGAAGAAGTGCGATGTTACAAACAATTATATTGAAAATATCACAAAAAGCTGCCTTCTGTACTTTCTGGTCTGGACAATGCCCCCTAGTAAGGCCGGGTATTGTTCAAAATGTGTCAATACTAATACCGATATTTTGACTTCAAAACCAATTTGTGAACAATACTTCTTTGATGACCTCTTTTTAATTACAAACAGAAAAATGGGAATGGATCAAACCGCAAATGAAGGTAAGGAGCTGGAATTGGGTATATTTACTGACTGCAGAGTAATCAAGAAGCACTGACCTTAACAGCATGCATACCGAACGTAATTTAGACAGCAATCTAGATTTTGGAATGGCTCAATGATGCTGATATTACTGACCACTGAAATCTGGGGTTGAACTGTTTGATACTCGGTAGCACCAAAGCTATTTGGTCAGTACTATAAAACCCAGCCCTACTGCCTAAAGATGTGTTTCCCAACTCAGTCCTGAGGGCCCCCACATGGCCCACATTTTTTACTTCATCCTTGTGTTTTACATGTTGTGGTGGAGCAAAAATGTGGACTGTCTGGTGGGCCCCAATGACCAGGTGGGGAAATGCCTATGATTTTTTTTAACAGATGATAACCTACACTTTGATTTACAGCAAATGCTACACTTTGGATGGATGGATGGATGGATGGATAGATAGTTGAGGTGGTCAGTCCTTTGTTCTAAGAATGCCTGCAACTTTTGCTCGATGAGCAAATTTTTTTCTTTTCTGTTTTCTTTTCTCACATATCCTTTCAGACTCATAGTGTTGAGTGCACTGTTTTGATCTAGTAGCAGATAATAAGTATTAACATTTAAACAGCATCTATACAGGATCAAAGGTAAACAATCTGCCTACCACAATTCATTTATATTGCTTTGAAAAGCATTTGATCATTATTTTGCCTTACTTTGCCACACACACACAGACACACAAACCAGTCATGGTATAAATAGCAGGGTGTGAAGAAGAGACTAAGAACTGGGAGAGGCATTGAAACTGGTTTTGGGCAATAAACATCAAATGCCACAGCAGGGCGAACAAGAATTCTTCAACAGGCATTCTTCCGAAACAAACTGCACAAGAGCTTTTCATAGGAGCTTTTTGTTTCTGTACCACCACTGAATAAAAACAGTATAAAATTCATTGTCATACCACCATCTAATTAGGTCAACATTTATACACACGAGCTATGGCCTGGCTGTATAGCTTTAAAGTCATGGCAGTAAAAGGCACTGAATGACCTGAGGGGACTGACACTGGGGGACAACATGAAAACCATTTGTGCTGGGCTTAAGCAAACAAGTAAGGAGACTCGGGGGGCGTGCTGACTAAATAATACAAACCCACAGTATGTGGGATGTGAACTTGATGCCAGGTTTACATATTGAATTCCACCCATCACTGTCAAGTCCAGAAAAACACCGTTGTTACTCAATGGCTGAAGAAACGATAGCAAAAGCGAAGCTGAAGGTCAAGCATTTACATGAAGCTTTCATTTTCACCACAATGTTAGATCTACAGTAGAAACCAACATAACATGGCTATTAACTCTGTAAAGCTGCCAAAAATGTTAGTATAGTTACATTAAACATTTCAGATATACAGTATCACTCAAGTCTGGACACACTAGGTTGCATGTATGCTTTTCATAATCTTAAAGACATCTAGATCTGTGGGATTTGGCCCATATGCTTGAAATCTGCCCATGTCAATAATGATGTGCTCATATGCTCATTATAAGAGTTATTGTCTTTTATGCCTCTTTAATAAAACAGATTACTGAAGCTCATCACCAGTCTTCGGCAGATGTGTTTACATGGCTGCATTGTGCCATATAATAAGATATGGAAACTGAATTGTGCAAATGCAGCATTACCCTACTTGACTATTTCTCTTCTTCCTAGCTAGTTAAGCTATCAGTGTCGGACCATGGTAATGGAAACCCAGTTCAATACTAAAAAATGAGAACATAGCAACAATTCACCTTAAACATCTATGTCTATACCTGTAGAATGTAGTCTTCTGATTAATTAGCCTTTGCCCGTCATCACATGCTTTCAGTTGTTACACTCACCAGTTTCCTCTAGGTAATACAGTGACGAGGCTAGCTGCTGGCTTTTGACCTCACCATCTAGATGTTTCTGGGACGTTTACTAGTTGCCTAATTTGTAACTAGATCCCCTGTAAAATTCTGGCTATATCCCACTGATGTGGGACTTTATATAAAGGTATAAAGAGCTTAACATAATGTAAAATTTATCAGTTTAAGGGTTCTTTCAAGCATTATTCTTTGAAGTTGACAATTTTAGAAAATTGTCATCAATCCACTTAAAGGGTCTTTGGCATCAGTCAAATGAGAATTTTAAGAATGCTCTTTAAAAACACTCATTACCTGGCAATCTGGTTGACGTATGGTTTCAGCTCGCTGGGGTCGTAGGCACGAGCGAAAGCCCAGCAGACATAGCAGGCAGCGTCCCGGACATTTGAGCCCAAACTGCAGGCTCCTCTCTTCTCATCATACGTTAGAGCCTTCAGAATCACTGGTACAACTGAAAGAGTATGCACAGACTCATATTAAAACTAAATATCCTGCAATATACAGTTGTGTGCAAAGGTTTGGGTGACCCTGGTCATATTATACTGTGTTGATTTTCTAAGTGAAAATAAGTTAACACATCCTCAACAAACAAAACACGTTTAATGGACAATTACAGTTTATTTGCTAATTTTGACATATTAAAAATAGCTTTATGTATGCCAATATGTTACACAAATAAATTGCAATTGTGCACTAAAATTTGCAGAAAATTTTAAGCACTGATTAGTCAAAGTAGGTACCGGATGATAACTTCAATTAGGTTTCCTTAAGGTTTGAAAATGATTAAGCGAACACACTGACGTACATACAGTCCTTACTTACTGTATGTTATTTGTACTTATTACAGTATTTGAATTTTTCTGAGCAAATAAATGCTTAGTTTTTAATTATATAATTTTCACAGGTGTGTAAAATATTGCTCAGCACATTATAGACACATTAAGTTCACAACAAATACACCCAAACCCATACGATTCATTACATCGTAATGAATAAGCCTTTATAAACCACTCTCTAGGGCTCAATGTGAGCAAGGACTTACTAGTCACTGGAAATCCCCTAAAAACTAAGAAAATGGAACAATGGAATGGAATGGAGTATAACCCATTATGCAATGATGGAATCGTAAGGAACCAAAGGAATCAGAAGGAAGTCCATTTTAAATGCATCTCCTCACAGAGGGATTTTTCTATACGTAACACTGAAACTTCTTGTTTCACATCAAAAATGTTTGTTTTGGTAATCAAATCAAACATATGCAATTTTACACTTTGTTTCCCTTTCACAAATTTTAAGCATTTAAACACAAGCCTTTGGATCCAAATCAGGTGTGATTAAACCTTTATACTGTGCATACACAGGAAATATAATAGGTCTAATTTTGCTCAGAGCAGATGTTTCAGTAGGTGACTGTAAATACATCTGTTATTCAATATTCAAATTCCCGGCGAGGCACTCCCACCGCATTGGCATGCACACTCCATGTTTGTCTAGCTGCTCGCAGCAAAAGACGTCAGGCAAAACAGAATTTTAGCATGCAAATCTCGCCAGTGAACCATCTCAGCCCCAACACCCCTCGACCTTTCCCAACTCGCATCCAGCTGTAGTAGATGGTGGCTGTGATAAAGCGTTCAGGCCACCCTGATGGCCGCATGGGCAGAGAGGAAGTAAGTGTTTGTGAATTGTGGCTTGGGGCCTGACTAATAGGTGCTGCCTGAGGGCTCTACCTGGGCATAGACTCCACCCCACTGATAGCTACCAGTTCAGTGAGACAGAAAGGGAGGAAGAGAGAGAGAGAGAGAAACTTGTCCATGACAGCAGGACACACAGACGCATCGACACTGTACACACCACATCTCAAAAATCTCTGGACCAAACATCTAGTGCCGGTAACAGCGGACAACAGGTAAGCATTATCTACTTACTCAGCACTAACCCAGTCATGGTGTTGCCTACAAATTAACAGATTTATTTTACTGACTCTATGATATATTAATATCTTTCAATAACAGAGACATTTTTTAAAATCTATCTTCTGTGAACTTATTAGAGAGGTTAGAATTTATTTTGGAAATGTGGCAATTTATTTCTTAGGAAGCAGCAGGTGTTTTTGTAACACACCTGTTACCTGTGTGCTGTATGGCATACGACACTAATAGAAATTACAACTCTGGTACAAAACAGCAGGACAGAAGAAAGACATGTTGGCAATCTAGTTCTGATTTAATTATCAAGAAAAATGAAGGCAATGAAACTTTAGAGTTTTATCATTCTGAGAAAACTACACCATGCCTAGAGGGTACGAAGAAACTGGCACAATCAACTTTATAAGTGGGACAAAACAATGACAATACTACTACTACTACTACTACTACCAATAATAATAATAATAATAATAATAATAACAACAACAACAACAACAACAACAACAACGGTATCCATGTGGCTGGGGATCTACATAAAAATAGTTAATTTTACCATAGTTATTCACAGCCATTATTTTGAGTATACAGTATATAACGTATTTCTCTTTATGCTATTATAACAAGATATCCGCAGACAAAGAAAACGTAGTTTCAGGACACGAGAAAAAAAAGGCATTTCACAACAGAAAGTTCTTGATTCTACTCCTTGGGAGGGAGCAGCAGCATTTGCGACAAACCAAGCCAAAACTGGACCGACAACCTGTTGCGACAGTAGATGACAAGCAGGTTCCTTAGGGTGGAGTCCTATACAGCAACAGAGAACCCTCACGGCAATACTTCTCCAGAAAGAAAGAAAAAAAAAAAAAGATCCTTGCCCTTTCAATACTAACCCTGGAGCTTCTAAATCTTCAGCTGTCTTCGAGCTTTCAGGCTTTCAAAACAGGGATGTGCAGCTTAAGTGCTGGATTGCCACCTCAATGCAGTTTTGCATCCGTGCTGTTTACCTTGCTGCTTAGCCTGCCTGATACAACTCACAAGCTCATTTTGAAGGCTTTTGTGAATTCAGGTCAGGTGTCTTAGAATCAGAAAAATCTGAAACTCTGCAGTACTGTGGCCCTCTAGAACAAGAAAGTGCAGAAGCCCAAGAAGAAACAGTGATCATTTGGGTGAGCTGACAGGCAAAGCTAGCTACTTGATACCCAAGAAATACCGTTATGATCATTCATCCACAGCAGCCAAGCTGCCTCCTCTAGTATTCAGCGCAGGTGAGATCATCAGTCAGCGAGAAAGAGAGTGCGTGTGTTTGTGCGGCCTGCAGGTGGGGTCATGGGAAGCAGGTGTCTGTGGTTTCCCACGCCATCAGCAGAGGGTTCGAAGGGAGAGGCACAAGTCTCCACAGGCCTACGGTGTCTTCATCAGAACTGCTCTTACCTGTCGCTGCATCTCAGCCAAGGGCGCATGGCGCATCAAACAATCAGAGGCATAAGCCAAGAAGACCGTAAAAAAAATTGCCTCAATGTATGCAAAGCTGGCTCTGAGTTTGAATGCGGAGCTGTTTTCTTAACTTAACCGCCAAACTGCACCGCAGGCAAAAAAACTCAAGTTAGCCTGAAGGGTATGGTTAATAGTATCACTGTACTTTTCAAAGTCATTTTACTTTATTTTATTTTCATCTCATTTAGGATTGATAAAGCACAACAGTGCCAACATGGAAACTCCTCCAGAGAGAAAACCAAAGAAACCCCACTACATTCCCCGTCCTCCTGGCAAGCCCTTCAAATACCAGTGCTTCCAGTGTCCCTTCACTTGTAACATCAAGTCCCATCTCTTCAACCACATGAAGTACAACCTGTGCAAGAACTCCATCTCTCTGGTGTCCCAGCGCGGGGAGCAGTCAGCAAGACCTTCCAGAGCTCCTCAGCACAGCAACTCCACCACCCAAATCACTGAAGGGATGCCAACACCTGCTAAATCCAGCCCAGTCTGGCCAGGCAACAAAGCCAGAAAGGTGGAATTGACTAAAGATCCAGCTTGTCAGGAGTTGGAGGATGGAGAACAGAGAGTAGAAACTGAGAGTCCCACGAAGAAAAGCCCAGAACCTAGCCCTGAGTTGATCAACAGTGAAAGCAAAGCGCTGGAAGTAGTTGAGGCCGGGATCAAGCACACCTCGATGTCTGCCTTCTCTCCTGTCCCACGAAAGAGCGAAAGCGAGTCTCAGCCTTTACTACCCTATAAAGCAGAGCAGCCCCCGCTGCAAGCTCCTCTTTCCTTCCACAAACCAACAATCTGGGGTCAGCAGGCCACCCCTGTACCTCTCAAACCCCCTGTAACCAACTCAGTTGCAGACTACCCTCCATATATTCTTCCTGAAAGACGTCCTCATGCCCTCTACCAACCCTACATGCCAAGCCAAAGCAACTCCCATCGCCTGACTCTCCTAGAGCATCACAGACCACTAGTACCAGCACCTCTACTCCCTCCCAATCCATCCCTCCTCCATCCTTACCACTACAGATACAGCCACTCCTTTCTCCCAGTCCCACAGCTGCCTTACAACCTTTATCCACCCCCTGAACACACTTCAACGTTGCAGTCTCTGAGGTATCTCCCTGTCGAGATATATCCCCATGGGTTTGATCCCAGGGTCTATGGAGGGTACAGCTATCTCCATCCGGGTTCCTACAGCAGGCAGCCAGAGGCAAGGGGGAACCAGCAGCATGGAGGAGACCGGACAACGCGCCAGAGCCCCTTGGCTGGCTGTGCTGCATCTGGGTCCCCAGACAGGCCGAGTACTGTTGAGTTTACTCAGAAGCACCCCACCAACCTTGAGCACATCACCCACAGAGAACCACAATCAGACTGCACCACTCTAAGGAGAGGGCCGATCACAGACTCGTCTAGGAGTCCGCGTAGCCAAAGGAAAGAGACTGGCACACAAAAGCAAGGAAGGTAAGGAAAGTTACATTACATACAATCACATATCAGAACTGAATGCACTGTAGGAAAGTGCATTGCAAAAATGTGTAGTAAGGAAGAACAGGCACAATACAATAGTGTATCATTTAACCCCACTAAAAAAGGCATTTTATTTCTCTTTTCAGAGACGACATGCAAAGCACCAGTTTAGAGAGGCACTCTGGCTACTCATCAGAGGAAGCGGAGGATGAGGAGAGCAATGACGAAGGTGCTCCTCTTAACCTGTCGAAGAGGGACCAGAACACACTCATGTCCCCAGTCAGCCATGAATCTGAGATCGACTCCAGCTCAGGGAGCAGTGATGAAGAGGACGTTCCTCTCAACCTCTGTCTCCGTGCAAAATCCAGCAGCCAGGCCCAGTCTGAGGTATCAGGACAACTGGGCAGCAAGAATGCTCAGGCCGACAGGCAACTGTTCACCAGTCCAACTGAACGAGATCAGTGTGAACGCAGACACTCAGCAGCTTTTGCCCTCTGTCAGTTGGCCAGCTCCAGTAATATCAATGCCTCTGATCCTACATCAGTTCCACAAGAGAATATCCAGACCCCGAGCTGCCTGCAACTTCCAGCCCAAAATCAAGCGGCTATCCAAGACTCTGTACACATGGATGAACCCAAAGAGAAAGCTCCAGCCCAGGGGCAGAAACGACCAAGCGATGGGAACACAAAGAAGACCACCAAGAGGGCAAGAGTGAAAGAGCCTGTTCGAGTCCAGAGAAAAAGGATACAAAACTGCTGATCTCTCATTTACAGGGTCAATGAAAAAACAGGGTTAAGGGTCCACTCAATTCATATTTCAGTTCTGAGCTGATTAACATTTTCTCTAGCTCACCCATGATGCCGCAGCTCAATAAAAGTAAGAATAACATTTGGGAAGATGTATTATATTCTATTACATTCTGTTAAACAGAATTCTAACACACTCAAAGACATTTCAGACAAAAAATGAACAGCTTAATTGAGGACACCTATTATAATACTTTTGTTTAACTGTGTTTATACCATTTCTGTATTCAATATAGCTTTGGTGGAAAAATCCTGTATAAATTGTATGTCTTCATGCACTACAAGGAAAACAAAGCTTCAGTTCTACTCTTTAAGGAGTCTTTCTGTAGTGTTTTGAAACACAAAATATCTGTACATACATTATGTCTTCGTGCTGACTGTATTGTTATATATTCAAGCAGTATAAATGATGTCAACTTTACTCTTCTCAAAACTGCAGTAAATGAATAAAATGTTTGTAAAATCCTATTTTTGTATGCTTTCCAAGACTAAAACTTTTCTGACTTACAAATAGAAAGGATTTTTTAAATAAAGAAATACTAATTCACACAGTTTCATACAGTGTTATAGCATAAATAAGATGATGCAAATAAAGGACAAGAAAAAAATACCTTAGTAATTATAATAATTTTTACAAGCTCAAGTTAGAAGTAGAATTCATTTTAGACAGAGTGAGACCCACCATCCGTCAGGCGTGAAGGAAGTAGCAGTCCTCTGCGGCCAAGTTCTGCAAGGGCAAGGCAGCCCCCATGCCATGCATTGTCAGTCTCCTGAAAGCTGAAACACACACACACACACACACACACACACACACACACACACACACACACACACACACAACACAGCTCAAGTGTAGGAGAGCTAATCAAAGATGACCTTCCACAACTGCATTCCTACTGATGCATGGGTCAGCCTTCCTTGTAGCTGACTGACTCATTTATGACATGTAAGACATCTTGAGACAAGTAAGACAAATAAACAAATAAATAAATAAATAAACAAACAAACAAACTCCAGGTACAAATGCTTTGCACTATGTTTCTTGAATATCAGAAAACTGTATGGTGCCCATGAAACGCATTGATTAATTTTGAAACTCACCTGAAACAGTCCAAGACTGAGCCAACAACATCATCTGCCAGCTCCTTGGGCAGCCTTCCAGTCACTCTCCCAATACTATGAATGGTTAAGAAAAGACAATAAGAAATAATTGTACAAATCTTTTCATTTTGAAAAATTACATAACTGTAAATGTCTGGACATAACACACTATATGGCCAAAAGTTTGACCAGCATACCTACATAAACTTGTTGGACATCTCATTCCAAAACCATGAGAATTAATATTGAGTTGGCCCTCTCACTGAGGACATTACAGCCTCCATGTCAAAAAAGTATTTGTGGGGTCAGGCACTGATTTTGAACAAGAAGGTCTGGCTCACAACGGATATTCCAATTCATTCCACAGTTGTTTAATGGGGTCAGGGCTCTGTGCTAACCACTGGAGGTCCTCCACACCAAACTCATCAAATCATGTCTTTATGGACCTCGCTTTGCACACAGGAGCACAGTCATGCTGGAAAATGAAAAGGCCGTCCTCAAACTGTTGCCACATCATTTGAAGCATATAATAAAATGTCTTTGTATGCTGTGGGATTACGCCTCACTGGAGCTAAGGGGCCTAGTCCAAACCCTGTAAAGATCATTATTCCTCCTCCACCAAACTTTACTGTGGGCACTGTGCATAGCTACCCAGATTTGTCAATCAGACTGCTGGATGATGCCAGTGAAGCATGATTCAACACTGCAGAGAACACGTTTCCACGGCTACCCAAGTTTACACCACTCCAACCGTTGCTTAACACTGCACATAATGATCTCACGCTTGTGTGCATCTGCTCGGCCATGGAAACCCAATTCATGAAGCTCCTGACACCCGGTTCTTGTGCTGATGCTACTTCCTGAGGCAGTCTGAAACTCTGCACTAAGAGATGCAACAGAGGATAGGCAATTTTTATGCGCAACATGATTCAGCACTTAGTGGCCCTGCTGTGAGAGTGTGTATGGTCAATTACTTTGTGGCTGAGCTGTTGTTGCTCCTAACTGCTTTCATTTTGCAATAATAGCACTTACATTTGACAGATCACTTAAGGCAAAATCACAAAATGACTTGTGGCAAAGGTGGCATCCTATTAAAGTGCCACATTTAAAGTCACCGAGCTCTTCAGTATGACCCATTTTACTGTCAATGTTCATCTATGAATGCATGGCTATATGCTTTATTTTGTACACACCTGAATTCAATTATTATTAGGGGTGTCTGCATACTTTTGGCCATATAGTGTGGCTCCTGGAGACTACGCTCCAATACCTATTGCAAGACACTTTGCTATGTTTGGTTAGGTCTAAAACATTCATAAACTTGACGAAATGTTCTTACCCTTTAGCTGCAGACCAGCGCACTATTGTCTCCTTGTCTTTCAATCCCCCCAGCAGTTGTTCTACAAAAAAACATTAGCAAATAGGAGCCATAATGACAATACAAAAAAAAAAACACAACAAATATAGCAGCCAAAAAAGCTTTCAAAGAATTGAAGTCCATAGTGGCCCATTAGAATCACATACACTGATCAGGCATAACATTATGACCACCTCCTTGTTTCTACCCTCATTGTCTATCTTATCAGCTCCACTTAGTATATAGGTGCACTTTGTAGTTTACAATTACAGTCTGTCATCCATCTGTTTCTCTGCATACTTTGTTAGTCCCCTTTTACCCTGTTCCTCAGTGGTCAGGACCCCCATGGGTTTTTAAACACCTCAGTGTCACTGCTGGACTGAGAATAGTCCACCAACCAAAAATATCCAGCCAACAGCGTCCTGTGGGCAGCATCCTGTGAACACTGATGAAGGACTAGAGGATGACCAACACAAACTGTGCAGCAGAAGAGGAGCTATCGTCTCTGACTTTACATCTACAAGGTGGACTGACAAGGTAGGAGTGTTTAACAGAGAGGACAGTGAGTGGACACAGTGTTTAAAAACTCCAGCAGCACTGCTGTGTCTGATCCACTCTTACCAGCACAACACACACTAACACACCACCACTACAACAGTGTCACTGCAGTGCTGAGAATGATCTACCACCCATGTGATACCTGCTCTGTGGTGGTCCTGTGGGGGTCCTAACCTTTGAAGAACAGGGTAAAAGGGGGCTAACAAATTGTACTGAGAACCAAATGCAATCTGTAATTGTAGAACTACAAAATGCACCTATATAGTAAGTGGAGCTGATAAAATGAACAATGAGCGTAGAAACGATACGATAAGTGTTATGATAAGTGTTCCCAAATTACTTCAAATCATTGTTGGCAATCATAGGATTTTTGGTTGAAATAACTTCACTGACCAACACTATAGAAGAAATGGGGTGAGAGAACAGACGAGCACTTACCAATGACATTTTCCACCTCCTCAGGTATGTCGTAATCCTCCTCCAGGCTTCCAGACTCCAGCTCAGGTTTTGCATCCAACACTATTCCAGCAGCTGCAGACTGCGCAAGGTTCACTGCCAGAGAGCGGCTTCCTCTCTGGTACCTGGATGGCAAGAGCTAATTTGTTAACAAACTCTTTTTGAGCATCTTGCATTTCCCAAGCCCTCTAAGAAGACCACCCACCATCCATAACTTCTTACTGCAGATCCACAGCTACAGCTGGAAAAGAACCTAATGGTGAATTAGTTTACTCCCATACACAATATGGTGGTATATGATGTTTTGGTATAATTTTAGCTTAAATATTAGACAAGTGCTAACTTTTGGACTATACCTCATGGAGTATGTTTAGCAAGCAAGACTTTCTAATACTTTTCTATTCCAAACCACAAATTCACTACTAGCGCATTTCACACTCACAGAGGGCACTGCGAATCCTAGCTGTTTTCTCTGTAAAAAAGAAATATTCTAAATTGTGGCTTTAGGGCGTAATGTTCTTTTAATATCTAGGCACTGTATTATCAGTCTCCAAGGACTGCACTGTTACTCAGAATGTGTCCTGGAGAGGCCACAGAAATGCAGTGTGTAGGATAACATTGTCCAAAAGCATCCCTTAGGCATCACAAGAGGTGTGTGGCAACAGGCAAAAGAGAGCTTTCGTACTCCTGAAGAAACATCAGTAACACTTTATCAAAACCCTGCTACATAACACAGACATAACCATGTCACGTATCATAATATTTGACGTCATGACAGCTAACTAGAGTACATTTAACAGCAAATAGCAAGTGACATTATCATGCTGTCATGACATCAAACATTATGGCTTCTGTCATGACAATTACTGTTGACATAATCTGTCATAATAACTCTTGATAGCATAACAACATCTGCCATGGCAAGTATATGGCATGGTCAGGCCTGTGATATGGAGCAGGCATATGTATTAAAATATTACCAAAATGTCTGTGTATGTGTACCAAATGCATAATGTCAGAGCATGTTTTCATCACACATAGGAGAAAGGCGCTAACTGAACTGCTGCTACAAACCCTAACTAGTGAGATTAGAAAAGGAGAATTTGCCCTAACCTACAGGCTGACGAGCCTCTCCATTGATATTCATGGCACTTTCCTTCAATAACCTGTTTCAGCATGGCAAGTAGAAGCCACAGAGAAGTGTGGTTGAACCAGAGAAACTGGAAACTGGTCAGAAACTTGTAGGGTAACTTTGTTCCTGGTGTGGTTTGGTAGTTCTTGATGTATGTTTAATAACTTTAGCTTTTACTATAAATAACATCTTGTTAAAATAATCAAATGGCTTACACTGACTGTGTTAATTTAGCCAAACAGACTACATTTACTGTAGCCATTTATTGTTATTATGCTATTTGGCTGGGCTTTACTAAATTGTTCTTATTTGTTTAACCAATTCAATCCTACCACATCAAAATCTTTCAAGTGTACAAGTAAAGGAAGTTATAAAAGGTAAAATAAGACAAATATGGTTTACTTTTTGATCATCTTAAAGCTGCAGGTGGCGCCTTTTCTGAATTGACTCAAGCCTAGAATGTGCTCATGTAAATTAATGTTGGATTTACCAGTAAACTTTTTGGTCACCTGTGTTGTTATTCTGCTTTGTCTCACTTTAATTAAACTGTATAAGAGCTATATAAAACCAGTTAACCTGCTTGTTACCACATGAAGTACATTTTTTAGGTTAAATTTTTCCCGTGTACACCTCTCACCTCCACTTAGCCAGGCGGGGTTTAAGAAAGGTCAGACCTAGTCTCTGCACCACCTTCACCCCTAGTTTCCTCAGCATGGCCTGGCTGCTTTCCGCTATCTTCTTCTGGTCCAGGCACTGAAGCACGGTGGGAGCTGCCACATAAAGGCAAGAAGGTCACATCGAGATGAGCGAACAATTTGTTTCTCAAACCAGAGCAGTAAACTGGGCAGGT